ACAGTGCTGTTGAGGAGTTAGGCTGGGCAAAGGGCTCTGGACAAGAAAGGCGTGAGTGCTACAAAGCCTGAAGTTGGACGACAGACAGGAGAGGTAGACCTGCCTGCGTTCGAAAAGCACGATAGCATCAGCAAGTAAAAAACCAAATTCGCCGAAATGGAAATAGGCTCAAACAGCGTGGGAGAGGACTGCCAGTCTCCGCAAGGCATATCAAGTCCCTGGGTTTACTGCATCTCTTTCCGCAAATCCCACTAGGACAGATATAAAAATAAGGACTAGCTCATCGCAGAGCCGCCAGACTGGCAGATGAGATGGAACAGTCTTCTCAGAGAGATTTCTTTACTGCGGCTAAGCAGTTGATAGAGCCACTTAAAACAAAGGGCCTTTTCACTGAGGCTCTGCTGGTTCCTGCTTCTGAATGTGGTTGTGATGGCTGGAGCTCTGGCAGCCACATTGCAACCACAAGATGAAAAGCAAGAGGACAAAGAGGCAACATGCAAGTAACTGGTGACATCTTACGCTGATGAGCTAGTGCTGGTGGGAGCCAGGTTTTCTGTTTCTCACATCCAAACACATGCACTGAGATCCAAGAGGTTTTCCATCCATAAAAAAAAAATCTGCAGACTAGTCCGTAATGTAAGAATGAGAATAAGCATTCTAGGGATAAATAAGAATCATCCCCAAACTAGGTGAATAAAGCTATAAAAGCTTACTGAAGAACATCTAAGAGCTTAATAAACAGAGAACAATACCATTTTTCCTAGGTATTGTAAAAATGTCAATTCTCCCCAAATCAAAATCTCAAAAAGACATTTTTTAAACTTGAAAAGGTTAATTCTAAAGATAATCTGGAAGAAGAAGAGCTATGAAAGTCAACTAAAAAAATTAATACGGATAGTATGATCCAATTTAGGAAACACGAACACAGAGAGTCTATGTTGTAACAACACTATGAGGAAACGGTCACACACACTGCACCTCGATGGCCTGAATTTCTTCCGGTGACCGGGGAGGAAGGTAAAGAATTCATGTTGTAAGGACAAGTGTACGTAAAACTGGTTGTAAATGACACGGTACTCTGGACGAGCCCCGCGACACGAAGCTGAGCGGAAGAAGCCAGCCACAAAAGGCCACGTAACATAGGGTTCCGTGTACACGAAACGTCCAGAACAGGCAAATCCAGACAGAAAGCAGACTGGCGGTTGCCCGGTGAGCTCTATGGCCAGTGAATCACATCCCAGCAAAGCTGGAAAAACACTGCGGTCCACGGCCTCCGCCCATCGGCATCTCTCAGGCCGGGACGGGAATATTTACTCCGACAGAACTCTCCCTGCTGAGAGCCTGAAGCCTGACATGACCTCTAAACTCCTCCTGGCCTACCTGTCTCTACAACGACATAGGTCGAGACTCGTGAACAAACGGCCACGCAGCCATCCCCATCTCACCGGAGCCAGGGGACGGTGCCTGCCCTGCACTGGGCTCCACGGAAGAGGTAGAGGCCGAGGGGAAGAGGTCCGACGTCGACGTTGATGGCTGTGGTTCCTCAAAGCATGCCTGAGAAGTGGGCGCCGGCGGCAGGACCTGGGGATCGTCACTCCGCCCTGCACCTGAGGTATCTTTGGTCACGTGGAACACGTTTTCTTTATTCGCTTCTGTGACCACAAAGGGAGCAGAAGGGGCCCGTCAGGGCGAGGGTGCAGCGCCGCTGCGGACGATGTGACATTCCAGCAGATCGAAAGGCCTTCCTCGGAAGAATCGACAGCCCGTGATCCGCACTCAGCCCTCTGCTGCACCCGCACTTACCAAAGGGGTCCGGTGTCATGCTCTGCTTCTCACGTAAGGATTCGTAGAGGTATGCCACATCTAAGAAGAAATGGACCAAGTCAGAGCAGCGTCGGGCGTGTACCGATAACATTCACCAGCTTAAAACGAAAGATCCAAAACATCTTAACCAGCTTTAAAATAAATAAGCCTCTGGAAAAATGTCTACAGTCAGGAGGCAGACCAAAGAAAGGCAAGAGGCTGACTAGGTGAAGAATCTATGCCTTCTTGTCATTTCAAAGTACAGGAGGAGCAGACTCCAGAGCCTTCTGTGCAGCCAGGGGCTGGCTTTGATCGTGCCTCAGACGACCTAGAGAATACGTGCCCCCGCCTTCCTATTTCAGGGGTAACCTTTGAAAGACTCCCCGAAGTCTCCTTGTCCTATATTCTCCCACAAATCCAAACACAGACATCAGAGCTGGAAAAGCCCTAATGGAATCCAGTCTCACCTTTGCTGTCTCCCATAAAGTCTCCAAAAACAGAACGAACGGCGGCTCCCAACCCCGTTCCAGGTCTTATTCCCAACGCAGGGTCACCGCACGCCCCCTCCCTTCTCGGTTGCCGTTCCGAGGTGCCCGGCTCACGAGCACGGCCCTCTTTCTGAGGAATGGCTGGGCCCCGACTGCGGGGGCAACGCTTCCATTCCTCGGCAGACGCCACTCACACCACACCAAGAATCTGCACGACCCGCAAAGGGAGTGTCGCGCACACAAACACTCCTACAGATAGAGTCTGCGTCAACGACTCCCTTCTGCTGCCGTGGCAGGACCTCCCCACCGCACGGCATGCAGGTGTCCACCCCACAAAGTCCCCTCTCTTACTGTGCTCCGGCTCATTCCTCCTGTACACCACATAGATGACGTCCCCGGTCTCTAGAGGACAAGTCTGCTTCTTAACTAGCTTCAGCTTGTTAATTACTGTTCCATTGGTGCTGTGGAGACAACAAAAATGCAGTTTAACTCCAATAACTTGGAGTTAAAAGTTTCTTTTTCTACCACCGCTAGGAAAGCAGTTCAACATCACCCCTTTGATACCTGCACCCTACGCTCACCGTGGCACGACTGACAACAGCCGAGATGTGGAAGCGACCTAAGTATCCATCGACAGACGCCTGCATAAAGAAGACGTGGCTCATACACACAATGGAACATTACTCATCCAGAAAAGGAATGACATCCTGCCATTTGTGACAATGCGGATGGACCTAGAGGGCATTACGCTAAGTGAAATGTCAGACAGAGAAAGACAAATACCGTATGATTTCACTTGTATGTAGACTCTAAAAAACAAAACAAACAAAACAGAGGCAGATCATAGATACAGGAAACAGACTGGCAGTTACGTGTGTGTGTGTGTGTGTGTGTGTGTGTGTGCGCGCGCGCGCGCGCGCGGTGGGGGGAACAGGTGAAGGGGATTAAGCAGCAAAAACTTCCAGTTATAAAACGAAGAAGTCATGGGGATCTAAATTACAGCATAGGAAATACAGTCAATAATACTGTACTAACTTTGTATGGTGACAGATGGTAACCAGATTTATCATGGGGACCATTTCACAACATATGTGAATATCGAATCACTACGACGTACACTCGAATCTAGTAAGATACTGTATGTCGACTAAACGTCAATAAAAAAGTTACCACCCTGAAAATGATAAAACACTGACAGGAATAACGTAAATATTTAACGAGGCACATACGTAAGTGTTACCTTACAACTGCCTGTTGCCCCCTTAGTGACAGCCCAACCAGTGACCAAACCGTCTTGCGGACACCTCTAACCTCTCCGCTGTGCCAACGCCTCATTGTCCTCCACCTGCCCCCGGCGGCCCCGCGGCCCTGGGCTTGCTTTCCAGCTTCTCTCCTGCTTCCAGCCTCGCTCGGGGCCGCAGACTTGCCACTCCCTTCGCGGTTGCGACCCGGTTAGCTCGCTCCTCGGTCCTCGAGTGAGCACCGACCCCTCCCCGATGCGGGCTACTGGCGGGAGATGGTGTGGCTCCCGCAGTTGGGAGGTCACTGCAGTCATCAGGGACCACAAGGCTGGGTGGGAGAGGTGCAGGGTGTGGCAGGGACAGACAGGGACCTGAGTCAGATGGGACAGGAAGCACTTCGCTGAGGAGGGACTGGAAACATCAGTCCCTGAGTGGACTGAGAGCACACACTGTCACTGTCATGTGAAAGCCACCACGGACAGCGCATCATCGAAGGGCTGTGGCCGTGTCCCAGTAAACTTCACTTACAGGAACTGGTGGCACAGCCACAGCGCTGCCCAGTTTGTCCTCACCATCCATTCCACGCTCTTCTGGACTAACACATCAGATGCCACTCGAGGGCTTCGCCCCTCCCATAACTTCTCCCTACCCTCAGGCCACCGTGGGCATTGGCATCTTCCTGCCCCGGATTGCAGCCCGAGTGCACCCACCACTCTGATCCCCTCCACCCCCCAATACCGCCCCCTCCCCAGGGAATGCAGGAGGCTCCGGAAGCTGGAAAAGGGAGGAACGGATTCTCCCCTAGAGCCTCCAGGAGGAGCCAGGCCTGTGACACTTAGATTTTAGTCCAATGAGAACGGAGTTGAACCTTGGACCTCCAGAACTACAAGATCACAAATCTGCATTGTTTCAAGCCACTAAGTTTGTAGTAATTTGCTACAACAGCTACAGGAAGCCAATGCTGTCGCATAGCCAGGGCAGGAAAGCCAGGACCTGACACGGAAGGGTGGCTGTAGAAGCAACACGGTCACTGTCACAGTGCTCCTAATAAAACCCAATTCCTAGTTTTCTGTCCTTGAAACAGTTACCGAAGACCCTTCGCCACCCAGCCTTTACAAAGATAAAAAAATCATCCGGTGGGAAAGGCTACTCTCAACTTACTGCCGGAAGGCCATCTGCCACTTGTACCCGGTTTAAAATAGGCACATTCTAACGCAGCATTCCTTCCTACAAATTTATCCCGAGAAAATAATCAGACATGAATGCCAAGAGTTATGAAGCAGTCACTGCAGTGTCATCTATAAGAAAAGTCCAAACGCTAAATGTCCATCATAAAGGATCTGACAAATAAGTTATTATATAATAATGCAGAAAAAGATGAGATGGATTTAGATGTATTGGCATGTCAAATGCTCCACAGACAGTCAGTGAAAAAAGCAGACACAACAACAGCATACACAGTAAAACCTCAGTAATACAAAGTAAATAGATATTGGTGAGTGGGTTTTGGAAAGGTTTTCACTTTCAGGTACTACTTATGTCGTATAAAAGTTAAAAAAAAAGAAAGATTTTTTTGATTTGAGGGAAAGAAGTCTAACTGAAGTAGGTATGCAAAACCCCAAAATTTATCAGTTTCTTAAGTCTTACTTCTGAGATTTTCTTTTTTTTGGCTTTAATTCGAATAATTTGAGAAGGACCATGGATACCCACATGCCACTGAGCACCCCATCCTGGAGACCAGAAAATACACTTCCTGTCTTTTGAGGACCTGGCCAGCTACCGTATTACAGAAAACCAACCCTCATTCCTTCCCCTTGGGCATCGAGTCAGGTTCCTGAAGCTACGAGAGCAAACGGATGTGCAGAAAGAACTTACCTGGTATCTTCCAGGGATACCTGACCGGATTTTTCATCCACTATGATTTTACAGTGATCTCCAGACACCAGTTTATTGCTAGGGAATGAAAGGTCACAACCTAAAACAGAAAGGAGGACACGCTGCATATGACTGGGTCCTGTGCATGACCCCGCCCCTTGCTTAACCAAAGCACGTGACTGGAAATTAGGGCCCACACTGTGCGCACCTAAGGAGACAACACCTATTCAAGCAAGGCACAAAAAATGTTTAAAGGATTTAAGTGTTAATGCAAAGCAAAGGGACAGGGACCGTGTCCTGAGCCTTTGTGATTCCCCATTACCTAGAACACACCCCTTCAACACCTGCAGCTACACATCAACAACTTCTAGGTGACAATTTTATAGTACGTACACATATGCAGCTCGTCTAATAAATATTATAGTACTTAAAAAAAAACTAAGGTGTTCAGTTACGTAATTCTTCAGTATCTTAACTTAGTCCTTAATTTCTCCTCAGTGTAACCTAAAGGTTCATAAATCACACAAAACTGAAGCAATGACAAAGAGTCAGGGAATATATATGACTGAATAAATTATCACAGGCACATGTATATGTTTAAGAAAATTTACAACAGAAGGGAGATGCATCTATCGGCAAATACGATCATTATATCCTCATTAAATGCAAGGAGAAAATCTTCAAATGCTTTGTTCTTTCAAATCAAAAGAATGAAAGCTTTCGGGTTTTAACATCTAATCACCATTGTGCTTACAATAGGTTTCTGTGCTATAGCTACTAAGGTTTACAGTAGCTACGTTTTTCACAACCCAGAGTGGGAAGCAATGCAAGTGTCCATCAGCTGGTGGTGAATAAACTGTGGTGCATCTAAACACTGCAATGCTACTCGGCGAAGAAAGGAACAAACTACGAAAACAGCAAAAGATGGATCTCAAAAGCATTATTCCAAGAGGAAGGAGCCAGACTCAAAAGACTGTGGTGGAACTCTGTGTGACTCCAAAGGGCCACTAGGGAACTTTCTGGAAAAGTTTTATGACTTGACTACAGTGGTGGTTCCATTTGTCATAGCTCACTCTACAGCTAAAAGGGGTACATTCTACCAAATGTGAACTATGCCTCCATAAACCTTAAGTATTAGAAATCCTACTTGCACAGTCTACATTATGGGAAGTGCTGTTACATTTATCCAAGGCAGATTCCGCCTGCGCTTGAGATCTTCCCGTTGCCCTGAGCATAACTGCCAGGACAGTCTCCTCAAAGCCCCAGACCCAGCACTAGCCACGCTGTCCCTAGAGAGGGTTTTTAACGGGCTTCTCCACACCAGAACGCAGCACTCTCATTTGGAACCGATGCTTTGCGCTGAAGTTCTATTCTTGGCACGTGCCCTGCTTATCATTCGGCTGGTTGAACGTGGCTGTGCGTACTCCTGCCTCTCCCCACGGACGGGAGGCCCTTGTGAAGGCGAGGTCCTCACCCCTTCCCACGCGCCAACTCAGCTCTCCCGTCCCCCAAAAGGTCTCGTGTACAGCCGGTGTGTGATCACATTACAACAAATACAATGACGTTCACAGCTCTTACGGAATGCCTGTATGCCCCCAATCCCTGTGTCGAAGCCCTACCTCCCCACGCGACTGTACTTTGAGATGGGGCCTGGGAGGAGGTAATAAAGGTTAAAAGTGATCATCAGGGTGGGGCCCAATGAGACTCACGAGTTCTCTGTCCAGCCTGTGAGAAGGCAGCCAGCCAGGAAGGGGGTTCTCACCAGGCTATCGACTGGCACCTTAACTTGGACTTCCCATGACTCCAGAACTGTGAGAAATACATTTCTGTTGTTTAAGCTTCCTGGTCTGTGGTATTTTGTTATGGCAGCCTGAGCAAACTGAAACAGCAACCTTTGTGTTTTACCGGAAAGGTTGATACATTCATCCAGGAGACTTCTATTAAGAAGCAAATTAACCTAACAAGGCATCTTTGCTCCCTGTATTAACGTGTAAAATGATATTATTATAACATTGTGTTACAATAGCAAGGGCTAACGTGAAGTGTTCTAACTCTAACTCAGGCTTCTGAGCACTTTACTCTTCACAGCGACTCTGAGGTGGGTACAAAGGCACAGAAAGGTAAGTTCTTAGCTGAAAGCCAATTATGTGGCGGTGCCAGATTGGAAACCCAGGCAGTTTGTGTACGGGGCTTCTGCTCGTCACCAAACTTCCTATTACATCCGTTAGAGACAATTCACTTTTCAAAAGTTCCTAATAAAATGTAAGCACTTTCAAAGTTGTAAAAAAAATTACATATACTTGATATTGGGATTTAAGACTGCCAAAAAAATACAAACAAACAAACTAAAAACACTTCAAAATGAAAACAGGTGCTAGTACACCACAAGGAGTAAAATGAAACCAAAAAATTTGCTTTTAAACAAGAATCTTTCTCAATCTCTCTTTTTTAAAGTATATAGAGTGATGATTTATTTTCAAACTAAATATTGGTTTTGGCCTGACCGGTGCACTTCTCTCCCTGAAGGAAAGCTACAAGGGAGGTCAGAATTACCAGATGGTGGCTAAGGACTTGAGAGGCAGGGTGAGGGCACCTTCTCTCATGAGCTGCGTGGCTTCCGCTTTCCGGGTTCATCAAACCAACAAACACGTGAATAGTCTTGGGAGCTGGGACCTGAGATCTTTTTTAAATACAGCCATGGGAGTTATAAATTTCCCTTGAAGCACTGCTTTAGCTGCCTCCCTTAAGTTTTAGTATATTATATTTTCATTTTCATTCATCTTAGGGTATTTTGTAATTTCTGTTGTGATTTCTTCTTTGACCCACTGGCCGTTTGAGTGTGTTATTTGAATGTCCAATTGTCTGTGAATTTTCCTGCGATCCCTTTCTTGCAGATTTCTAATTTTGTCGGACTGAGGTCAGAGAAGATGCTTTGTGCAGCAAAGTTGAAGACTGCATACTGGAGGACAAATCAACGCACCTCCCCCATGAAGTTGTCACTAGGATTAAATGATCTGCAGGAAGCACGCAGCAGTGAGGGCGCACCGCGTGAGCAAACGGCAGCTCTCACCGCAGAGCGCAAGCCGGGGAAAACCGGA